CTACATGCGGGGGGTCTTCTAGGAGTCGCTCGGCAGCGGCGTCCTCGAGGCGCTCGAGGTCCTCGTGGAGTTGGCGCTGATCTTCCAAAAGCATGCTTGCGGTCGCCTAGAGTAACTATGAGTCTTGGTATAGCAGCGGTTCGGTAGTGGATGTGCAGACCTTTGCGGCGGTGACGATGTCGAGCTGGTGGTGGAGCCTGTCGCGGCGACATAAATCGCAGAACGCGCTAGTCAACGGGGCTAGCGCGCCGAGGCTCCGGCCCTCCGCAAAGCTGAGGCGCAACTGCTCCAAACTTTCTTGCACGTCGCGAACGACTCGAAACCTACCAATCACCAATACCAACCCCGGCTTCACATTCAAGATGGCGGACGGAATCGACCGAAATGCGGACGACAAGATCGAGTTCTCCACCTCCAAGGAGGTCACGGTCGCGCCTACCTTCGAGGCCATGCACCTGAAGGAGAACTTGCTACGCGGTATCTACGCCTACGGATACGAGTCGCCCTCAGCTGTGCAGTCGCGTGCTATTGTCCAAATCTGCAAGGGTCGCGACACCATCGCTCAGGCGCAGTCCGGAACAGGAAAGACCGCGACTTTCTCCATCTCCATCCTCCAGGTCATCGACACGGCTGTGCGCGAGACACAGGGTACGTCATATCAGATTGGAGGTGTTGACTATGCTAATCAGAGGTAGCACTCGTACTATCACCCACTCGCGAACTTGCAACCCAAATCCAGCAGGTTATCATGGGTCTCGGCGATTACATGAACGTGCAATGCCACCCGTGCGTCGGAGGAACAAACGTCGGCGAGGATATCCGCAAGCTCGACTATGGTCAGCACGTTGTCTCTGGAACCCCAGGACGTGTAGCCGACATGATTCGCCGCCGCAACCTCCGCACACGCAACATCAAGATGCTCGTTCTAGATGAAGCCGACGAGCTCCTCAACCGAGGTTTCCGCGAGCAAATCTACGATGTCTACCGCTACCTCCCGCCTGCCACCCAAGTTGTTGTCGTTTCAGCCACCCTCCCATACGATGTGCTCGAGATGACAACTAAGTTCATGACGGACCCCGTGCGCATTCTGGTTAAGCGCGACGAATTGACGCTAGAGGGCCTCAAGCAATACTTCATCGCTATCGAGAAGGAAGAGTGGAAATTCGACACCCTGTGCGATCTCTACGACACACTCACCATCACACAAGCAGTTATCTTCTGCAACACGCGCCGCAAGGTTGATTGGTTGACAGACAAGATGCGCGACGCCAACTTCACTGTATCCTCTATGCACGGAGAGATGCCGCAGAAGGAGCGAGACAGCATTATGGCCGACTTCCGTCAGGCTAACTCTCGCGTGCTCATCTCGACCGATGTGTGGGCGCGTGGCATTGATGTGCAACAAGTGTCGCTCGTTATCAACTACGATCTACCATCGAACCGTGAGAACTACATCCACAGGATTGGTCGAAGTGGACGATTCGGACGCAAGGGTGTAGCCATCAACTTTGTCACTCAAGATGACGTTCGCATCCTCCGTGACATTGAGTGTAAGTACTATGCAGCTTTTTCTTCAGACATCCGCTAATCTTTATAGTGTACTACTCTACCCAGATCGACGAAATGCCCATGAACGTTGCGGACCTCCTCGCGTAGATTCTCGAGCGAAACGTAGATGCATTGCATGCGATTGAATATAAGGCACAGCAGAGATTCACGCTCACCGTACTGAGGTCACAGAGACTCTCATTCAAGGGACACGCCCGCTTCGGCGGCGAATTGGAAGTGGAGGAAGGGGCTCTTTAGCCGAACAGTAAGCCTACCTCTGTCGCAAGGCTTCTGTCATCTGGCTAACTTTGCGACTCTGACCAGAACGAAATTGTAATCAATACCCATAACGTACTCACAATTTATGAGACCGATGACCAGCCGATAAATTGTGGTGGCGGTACCTCCAAGATCAGATCTGGTTCCGACCATCGCTATCGTGATACAATGATTGGCAGTTCGCGATATATTCATGACACACGGTTCCGATCACATACTCCTTAAAATTCAACAAATGTTCTTCTGCCACGTCACGACATATCCGCAATTCTACAAGGAAGGAAATCTGGTGAGTTCAAGCCCCTTGGCAGCTGGGCCCGCAATCTCAATACAAGATCTCGCTGTCCTAGCGGAAGTAATTGAAGATGGCCTCATTCTGTTTTTGGACCACCCCATGGGTCGAGTGGTTTGTTTCCGCTATCGTGTGATTCGCAGCACATCCTCGTGCGTATTTTATCATCAATAGGTCTTCTCTTGTTCTAGTAGCAGACTCAATCGCCTGGCTGATGCGATAGTGCACCCTCTGAGGTAACAATCAATACGACTGAGGTAGCAGCGCTGTCCCTCTCCATGCAATATGTTGATTCCCCACCGTTGATGCGATACCACGCGAGCTAGCCTTTCCAGCTGCAGTGTCTCAATGCTTTTGCTCAAAGTACAGTGGGGAAGCGGTCGGTTTGTTGGCACAGTGACATTATGCCGCGTATGTTTACCGATAACGTAAACAATATCACCTGCCACCGAACGCATTGGAGCGAAATGTGCAGAGTGGTAGAGACCCTTGGGGTGAATTCGAAGGTGAAGTGTGGCTCAGGGTCCGATTGCGCGAACATGATTCTTCCAAATTACCCATGCAGAATTGTTGAGAGTGCAATGTAACGGAGAAAATTGAAAACGGCGAAAACTATGATCGATCATTTTTGAGTTGGTATATCAGGTCGGAGACAGTACTTGAATGTGTACCATGCGAGTACGCGATCGTGCTCGATAGAGTATCACGACCTACCATCCACACGTATGGCACTCTTGTTCAATTGTAATGTCTATCTCATCTCCGTCATCGGCTTCCCCTCAGTCGCATCATAGTGCCATGGAACGGAGAGTACCAGCTTCAGGTGCTTCACCGGGGTTGGACCCTGCCTCATCACCCTCTCCGCTTCTCCGAGGCCGGAACCAAACATTGCCGCATTTTGAAGAGTCTCCGATGCCTACGATCTCTCTCATTTGAGGGGTACCTTTTCGTATGGGATGGTTGAGTGTTGCGGAAATTTTGAGGGGCTACATTGCGTCCCATCGTAGTACCAGTGGATGGAGTGGATGGCGACCAAAATATCAAACCACACGCGAACACACGAACACACTTGAGATCAGTCCCGAAGAACGAGGGAAATGCAGGGTGAGAGTATAAACACGGCATATCCCCTCTTAGAGTCACTCATCCGCAAAAACCTCGACAGCAATCTACCATCTTCGACTTCGATAAAAGAAGCTCAAAGTACGATCTCTGCTCTTCTTACATCCTCTTCATCACTTCGAGCCAAAACAGCTAACACATCCCCAGTCACTACCAACAAAACGTACCACCTCCCCTTTCTACCACTCCACCACTCCACCTAACACTCCCTTCCCAGCAACCCAACCCGACCACCACAATGCAATTCTCCACTATCCTCGGCGCCACCATGGCCCTCTTCGCAGGCGTTACCTTCGGCACCATGGAAACCACCATGTTTATCGAGCCTAAGGTAACCCATCGCATCGATACCGTCACCGTTACCGCTCGTGCCGTTACCGTCACCGCTGCTCCCTACGCCGCATAAACAGGTCTACCTCCTGGTACCTGTCCGTAGCATCTTGGTTGCGTTGAGATCATTGGGGTTACAATAGGAAAGGCTGGTCAGAGGTCTTACGGCGAGCTTTTCTTGTGGGTAGATGTGTCTGGCTGGCTGAGATGAGGACGCTGAAAGGTCCGGGAAAAGTAGATGGGAGATGTGATTCAATGCCATGTCTTACTGTCTAATCCTTGTTGTTTTGCTTGCTGTGTGAGGTGTGACCATGATTTTGTCACGATAGCACTAGGTGCGTCTTCAACTCCCAAGATGATTGTGATACGGGTGCAGAGCAGTTATTTCGAAACGAGGTCAAATTGATTCACATATTATCATTATGTTGTAGCTACAGCTAGCCGACCTCCATCCCACACACCACCATTTCAAGATGTCGCATCGTCACCAAAAGCTAGTTGCATTCTTCGTGCGTGCGCAGCTCTTCGCTTAGCCTGTGCTGACATGGGCTTCTTCGGAGCATCTCCGTTCTGACTTCCGTTGGAAGGCGCCGGGCTATTTTCTGCCTGCACTGAAACAGACGGAACGGGAGGAGGTATCTCTACCTGAACTGGGACTGATGAGGTAGTGGGTGGTACCTCCACGCGCAACTCTTGTTTCGGTGTGGGAATTGGTTGCTCGTGCAATACGGGTGGTGAAAGTATGGCTTGTTGCGTATTCGTTGTCTGTTGCGCCGCTTCTGTAGTGGAAGCCTGTCGCACTAGATCTTCAGCCATTGTCTTGACGACTTTGTGGCTACGAAGTCGTTGCTGAAGGACGGAGAGCACGACGTCGTCATCGTCTAGCTCCGCTAGCGTCTCTGTTGCGCTAGCAAGGCGCTGCTGAAGGACGGAGAGCACGACATCGTCATCGTCTAGATCGACTGGCGTCTCTGTTGGGCTGACAACTATGCGTTGCGAAGTTTCTGGGGTGATGATCTGGGGCGGCGGTGGTGGTGGTGGCGGATAAGACGGTGCAGTTACCGGAAGGGTAGTCGCCTCCTCCTCCGCACCAGACGTTGTTGCAGTTTCAGCGACCGTGGTAATTGTGGGTGACGGTGTAGCGTTAAAGGATCTGCTACTTGACGTTTGCGACAGCCTTTTCGACATGCGTTGTGACGGCCGCTGACTACTTGGGCGACGAACTGGCTCGTCGTCGGTGAAAGTGGTAACGTTGACAAGAGCACTGGGCGATCGCAAAGTGTGTATAGATGTTGCATGGTGAGACATAGGCGACGATGTACGCTCCAAAGAGGCAAAGCTTTTTCGTCGCAGGCTCGATTCGTCCTCATATATCGACGGCGCATCCGCATTCCCCTTCTCAGGTTGTGGTGGTTGCGCAAGTCCTTCGCTACTTGTAGGAAGCTGGCGGGGCGATGGCTGAGTTGCAGTAGTCTTGGTTGCGATGTTTGGTAGACCGTCTGTCATCGCATCCGTCATAGGCGCAGTCTCGGGGACTATAGGTAACGTATGACCGGTTGTTGGGGTCGACGTCACCGAGATCGATGGAATAGAAGTTATTGGGCTGTTTGGCCATTCTCTACTCGGCAGCCTCTCACTCGCCGCACTAGGCATCACATAATCCGCCAGATCATCGATAAGTGACGGCTGACTCTTGAGATGAGGTAGCTCCGATGGCAAAGACCTGTGCTTTTCACTATGCCTTTGGATGTCTATCGACGTTGCTCGATACCGTCTCGCTACCATGGGGACGCTGACCGTAGCTTGTGTGGAGAGAGTGGAGTCGGTGCGCTCGATTGTTGCATCGCCATTATTCGAGGAGGAAGGAACGACATCGATAGAGGCGCGAGGCCTTGGTTCCCGAAGCACGGATTGTCGGGAGTAGTCTGAGCGTGCTCGTGGCCGTCTGGATAGTGCCGAGCTTTCAGAATTGAATTCGCGGGACGCCTGAGGGCTCAGGAAGGTCTGTGAATTTTGCCTCTCCTCGATGTCCAAGTCAGCCGGCGTACTACCGGCCAACTCTACAGGCACCGAATTGACACTACCAGCTAAAGGTTGTTAGTTGGACTGAAATTTTATCTATCGTGGATGATGCTCACTTTCGACGTCGTCTTTTTCAGCTTCCGACGCCAGCGTAATGTTTGATGCGGAGACGTTCGCTTGATTCGTTCGATATTTCTGCCTCGAATAAGGTCCACGTAGCGCGTCTTTCTCATCATGAGGTACCCAAGGTCGTACCGGAGCCTCAAAAATGGGGGTCTCTGCGATAGCACCAGGCTTCCCACAGAGTTCTGCCGTTTGCATGACATAGATAGCGCCAGTCAACTGGGCGTGGCACTGATCTAACAGCTGCTTCTTTTTCAGAAGTTTTTTCTGGTTTCTTAGACCCCACTCAAGCTTGAGCTTCGATGCAGCTGTGCCGCCATCTCCATCGTGGACCCAGGCTTTGTCCATATCCATGCCGATTTCATTAAGAGCACGCCGCACCTCGAGCAAAGAAGTCTCGATCCATCTCCGCTTATTTGGGTAAGCATCCAGGAAATTCGAAACCGCCGATGAGATGAAAAGGCGCGTCGCCTCATCAATATCTTGTCGCACTTGTTGGATGATGCTCACGAAAGCGATGGTATCCGCAGAAGCCTTCTCGGTAGTGAGGACATAGTCCGCAAAGTAGTAAGTAGTCGGTATCGCTGGAAAGTCGCAAGAGATGTCATCGGACGTTTCCCTAGGAATAGCAATTGATGGCCGCCGGTCTTCAGAGTTCCTGGGCTCCTGCTTCGGCCGCCCGATCTTGCGTTGGAAGTACTTCAGCCTCGTTCCTTCGGTCTCCGTAGGCGCTTGCGTGGGGAGGTCAGCCCGATGCAGTGTTTCCGGTAAGAACAAGCCAGCAGTGGGCAACATCGAAGTCAACGTTGGCATGAGCGTCGTTCGTATTACTTCAAGCTGATTGTACTATTGCTGTACAGAGTCTGAAAGTAGCTGGTAGCGCGCATGGGTTAAGCAATGGTAGCAGGCGACATGCGCCAGGTACACCAGGACAAACCCCGCAGACAATGACGCAGTAATTGCTCGAAATAGGCACAGCCGATGTGGATGTGCTGGTGCTCCAGTTTCGTGTGTCGGCCTGTCCGATGGAAGTATTTGCTAACAGCTACACATGGGATAGCTATCAGTCGATTACGGCACCGATGTAGCGGTAAAGTGTTGGTTGGGGGCGCAGAACAACAACTCAGCCGCGGGCACCGTACCGCAGAGTCATGCAGCGTTGTCGTCTCACGCCGCACAGCATAATCATGCCAATGTGCATGGACGTCTCGCCGGATTTGGAATAAATTACTTATAAGGTACTGGTCTTCAATCCAAACCTCGCTATTGGGCCACGCCGCAAGGATGCTGATTGCATGGACTACGCCCCAATGGGGGCCAAGACGCATTCCATATTGGCCCCCATGCGCAGGATGCGGGTTCGGAAGAGGGAAGCACAAGCGAGACCAGGCTAGGAGTTGATCTGGCCGATTGGCCGTTGCGCGTAAGCCTTCGCATGTCGAACACAATGAATGACCGTCTTGAGCGTAGGTGCAAGGGTCGTAGCGTGTCGCCTTCGCCTGTTCGGCGAGAAGATGAAGATGTAAGCACGAATCTAAAGCTTCGATTCATTCGATAGCAATCTGGCCATCACTGTGACAGCGGAAAACTCAGAGGCATCCGCAACATGAAACTTCCTGAAGGTGGCACAGGTTCTACCTGTGAGCACAGTCGTACGCGAGGGTCTCCTTGCATGAGCCACCGACTCATGCATCCAACCGTCTCACCACAGCCTCGCTGAAAGGCCGCGGCGGACTGACTGGATTACCAGCCTCGTCCGCTACTTGCACAAGAGCGGGGAAAATGCACAAGTCCCCTGAGGTGACACCTTGTTCCTCCTGCCACTCGAATTCCCATGCGCTAGGCTGAGAAAACAGCGTGAAAGCGAAAAGCGCAGCCCGCTTCAATACTTCCTCAAGATTCCGCTTGCGCTCTCCATTGTTCATGCGAGAGTCCGCGTATGGCTGTAGAACGTTGTCTAATGTTGCAAGCGTTGCCTGTATACTTGCATGTCGACTGTCGGAAGGACCGAAGGGATTGCGAATGTAGCTAGCCTGCATCAACTCCGCAGTCATGACCCGCCAGCGCGCCATCAATGATGTTTGAGCTGTACGAAAGTCAGTACTTCTATACTAGGAGAGGAAGGAACTCGTGCCGCATACCTTGATAGCCACGATCTCCAGTTGCGACAGCTTGGTAACATTGCGCGACTTCGGACGGCAAGAGGCTCTTTGAGGGATCTTTGGAGGGTTGAAGTTTCGAGACGATCACCCAGGCGATAATGAACCTTAGCGCAATCTCTCGTGTTGCAGCATTTCCAATCAATGTAGTGAGCGTTCCTACCGAGACTGGTAGACCTGGTCCCAGTGCGTGTAGGTCCTCATAATCGATGAGACCAGGGTTGACACGGCTGGTGTGGTAGTAACTCTGGACGTGATTCTTGATGGCATTGCTTATTTTCGAGACATCGCCAGAGATGGCTTTGTCTTCCAAAGGCTGAGGAAGTCCACCACCCAAAGCAGCTACAGACGATCGTTTTCCGGCTAACGGTATAGTGTTGGCGGAGAACCCCTTCTCCTGCGAAGCCAACGCATATGTGTCCGGTTGGGGATATTGATTCTTAGGCTGTCTTCTTCTTCGCCGGCAAAACCACAGAATGGCTCCGGCGAGCAGTGCACCTGCAGCAAAGCATCCAATCGCGATACCGGCGATGGCACCTGTCGAAAGCCCTGGGCTCGCACTCTGGGGTACGATGGGGACACTCGTCACTGGAGGAGTGGATCCTGTTGATCCAGTCGTGGTCGCCTGAGCGCTCGTTGCAGCAGACGTCAATGGTAAAGATGTCGGAGGGGCTGCGCTCGAATTTGGCTGTAGTATCGATGATGCAGTCTGTGTAGGGGCTGGTGTAGATCTTTGGAATACAATCTCCGTTGCCCTTGCATCCACCGAAGCAAAGATTCCGTCGAACGTCGCGGTTGCACCGGGCTCTAGCGTTGTAGGCTTTGCTGGCTGCGCTGCTGGAAGTCCGAAGGTTGGTGAGTAGACAAGACCCCTTCCAACGGGAAGAAGGACCTGTATTGTCGCGACTGGCGCCCCATCCAATATCAACGGGAGGGGGTACGATGCTGTCGCGGTAAATATGCCATCGGGAGGGGCGATTGGTATATGGCTCCAATTGGGGGAGGCCGTCTGATGATTTTGATCCGTCATACCAAAAACTATTTGTTCGACTCTGCAGGTAAGACTGCGCGCCTCTTGTCGATTGGGCTTTCGCTGAGAAAACGGAGATTCTAGCACGAGGATGATGAATAAAGAGGTAGAAGAGGTCCCAGTTAATCTCGGATGATTGAGCAACTTGAGCGAAGTCAGCCTGTCATGTGGGGATCGTAGAGAGCTTTAGCGTTTACCTGCTATGCTGTACCACAGGCTACTTTACAACCACTAGTGCGGGGTGTCTCCTCGTTTGGCGCTGGCAATAAGGTGAGTCTTATCACAGTTCCTCCCGGAAAATGCAGGCGAATCGAATCGAGGCCGAAAGGTAGAAAGTTTAGCCAACCATTCGGCCTTATGCAGTCTCCCTGAAGTGCCTCGTTGCGGCCCCCAAGGCGCACTCGGCATGCATAAAGTGTGTATTCTTAGGTTTAGGGTACATGGGGGCCGAAATGGCGCGTGTTGTGATCGGTCGAAAAGATGCTGTGCCGCAAGGCTGAGACATAGGGGCCGCCTCAAGGCACCTGCATCGTCTCTGCATCTTATAGATACGTGATCAGGCGGGAAGGCAACAACAAAGACCGCGTCACCGACAACGAGACAAGATGGAGCGAAACGAGCGACCGCATATGATTGTTGGTGTAGACCTTGGGATGACATGTAAGTTCTGGCGAGGCTGAGGAATGACACGTGGGGAGGCGAGTCCCAATTCGGATTAGTGTGCTGTGTTGGATCACGTGCCCCTTATCACACCCGTCCGAGGCTGATGATCTCTCCAGGTACCGGCGTGGCATATGTGAACCTCTCCATAGGCAGCGAAACTGTTCGCTGGGTGCAGAAGTGGCCTGGACGATTCCAGGCGAATGAAAACAAAGTTCCGACGGTAGTTGTCTACCCAATTGGCTCCAAAGATCCGTCATCATGGGGCTTTCTTTCGGAGACCGCTGCAGAGACCGCGGCCGACGACAAGGAGTACAAGGAGTGGTTCAAGACATGTCTCGATCCAGAGAAGCTCCGCCGAAAGCAGATGGAGGATCCTGAAGGCGCACCTGAGAACCTACAGGAGGTTGAGAAGTGGTATGGCGACTATCTGCGGAAGATGTACGAGTACTTGTCGTTCAAGCTTGGCGGGGAGCTTTCTGGCATCGGCTGGGAAGAGGCTAGAATTGAATTCATCTTCAGCGTGCCGACCACATGGGCTCCGATGCCAACGGTGGAGAACTTCAAACGGCTGGTGAAAGAGGCGGGCTATGGGACGCATCCGCACCACGAAGTGGCGATAGGTCTAACGGAAGCCGAAGCCGCTGCGGTACATGTATCCACTGAAGCACCAGGCATTTTCCGCGAGAACGATGTCTTGCTAGTCTGTGACGCCGGAGGTGGGACGACCGATCTTAGCGTGCTGAAAGTCACTGGCACTGTCAACCAGGCTATCGATCTTCAGCAGATGGACGTCGTGTTTGGCGAGACCATCGGATCCGCTGCTATCGATTACGAGTTCGAGAGGCTGGTGATGCATCGTTTGACGCTCGCGCACAGTACAAATCCTCTACCAGTCGACCCCGCGGACGCCGGATGGGAGATGATGAAAAGTCGAGACTTCCAAGCAGTGAAGTGTGAGTATGGCGCCCCGGACGACACACCGTTGTTCAGTATAGGAATTCCACGCGTTCCACAAACGTACAGCAACTCTGATCCGGAAGTTCGAATTCGTAACGGCGAGATGACTTTTGAACGGCAAGATCTGCAGCGCCTCTTCGATAAGCAAATCGCGAAGTTGTTCAAGCTCATCGACACGCAGCTGCAATCGCTCTTTCAAAAGTTTCCGAGAGAGCATGTAGCACATCTTGTGCTCAGTGGTGGATTAGGCAATAGCGCATATGTGCAATCGCAGCTGCGAAAGTACTATGCGCGCACCTCTTTCCCGAACGCCGAGTCCATCTCCGTGAGCATAGCGCCTGACCCTCAACTCGCTGTGTGCAAGGGTCTCGTCAGCGATCGTATGCGAAAGATCCTGACATCGCGATCGGTCCTCGGCTGGCGTTGTTGTCGAGCGTCGTATGGCACTGTGTGCAAGATTGCGTATGACAAGAAGAACCCTGAGCATCAAGGGAAGGAACTTGTTCGAGACCCACTGAACAACAAGCTGTACATCACGCAGTCCATAGCGTGGTTCGTCAAGAAGGGCGCGCCAGTAAGCGTGGACAAACCGATCGAGCACAACTTCATCAAGAAGGTCGACCCGGGCGATCCAAGAAGGGCATTTCCGACGACTGTCATCGAGAGTGACTTGGATGCGGCGATCTTGCCAGATCAAATGAACCAACGTATGTGTACAAAAGCTCGGCCGCTCCACTCGTACCCGTGACGAACTTTCTGACAGCACGCAGACACGCGCATCCTTTGCGAAATAAATTCAGACCTCTCTGCAGCAGATGAGAAGAAGTTTCAAGAGAAGAACAAGCACTTCTGGTCGTTGCAGAAGCACTATCTGCGCATCGAGTACTCGGTACGCGTCTTGATCGGGCCCGCAGACATCCGCTTCGAGCTGTGGTTTGACGACCAGAAACTTAGTCGCGATGAGTCGATTAGGGTGGAATGGATGCCTGCGCAGATGCCGCAAACGTCTCAGATCGCCGAGATGTCCGGGGCGGAGAGAGAGGCTGTTGAGATGTCCAACACGCCGCCCACGCCCATAGGCGCTGCGCCCCCAAGTGGCGCATTCAAGACTGATCCAAATGCGAAAGCCATACGGACAGGTGGTTTCGCGGTCGTCAATAAGAGGGCTACTGTTGAGATGGGCAAGAAGCCAAGAGGAGTGGGTGGGCTGTTTGGGAAGAGCTCTTTCTTTGGACGCGCTGCGTAGGACGACGCCCTGGAGCTCTGGCCGCGATGGCGCGAAAATGACGCGGTGCGCATCGGCGCGGAAGACAGCTTCCGATAGCTTCGTAGCTGACACCACCAATTAATACCTTCAACCGACATGCTCCTCATCAAGTACATGATATCAGGCTCTCTCGTTTGACTGGTCGCTATGTTGCAAACAGGTGAGGAGCCACTCAGCTCTAAGCCGGCCATCGCCCCGGTCACTTGCCTGTCTTGTGTTAACGTTACACCCATTGCGCTTTCAGCCCGTCAGCCTCGTCAGCCTTGACTGCAGGCAACGAGGTCACCGTCTACTTATAAGTATGGCGCACAACAGATCTGATCATTGATCAAGACTCCTCGGTTTGCTATCTTTCTGGTCATCATAACTAATATCATGCGCTACCTCGCGTTCCTTGGTAAGAGGCCTGTGATCACCGTTCTGATCACAACTGACGTAGTTGAAGCCACCGCATGCGGTCTGATCGCATCTATCGCAGCATTCGACATCTCGCCGCAAGAGGTACTAGACTCGAATACGCCCAAATTCTTGAATGAAGCAATCGATCCCTGCTCGTTGGCCGACTCCCCAAAAGCAAATGCGAGCGTTCAGCTTAGCAGTTGGTTAGAATGCGCTGTCAATGGTACGTACAAAAGACAATATGCTTAAGGTCTCATCATACTGATACAAGAACAGGGTTCTATCCGTACCCTGCGAACACAGACTGGCCCAACGGCCATGCGAAATCATTCTCGAAAGACATCAAGTTCACCTTCAACGACACGCATTACGACTTCGATGGCTCACGGCGACTCTATACAATCTTCAACGCGACACTGGGCATGGCCTTTGCGCCTTTCAAACATGGCCCCATCAACACCCTTGGTGTGCCCAACATAAATGGCGATAAAGGTGGCTTCGTGTACATGATCGGGTGGGCCGGTGGTTTCCAGACCCGCGTCAAACGCGACTTGTACTTCACAAATGCAGCATTCGCAGTAGTCAAAGAGGAGGACGGAGAAAGGAAGATTGTTGAGTTCCGAGAGAGCGGCAACATTCCCAACACAGCACCACTGCCAGAGCCTGTCCAGTGGGGATGCTCCTTCGAGTAGTACACTCAGCGGCATCCATTAAAGGCTTCCAGCAAGGAAATACAGAATTAAGACGTTTGCACATGGCATCTGGCAGAGCTGCTGTTTTCTTGACGACAACACGGCAACCTCGCACCTGCGCATCTTTCGCGATGCCCCTATCCGACATAACCCCTCCTCATTTCCGCCATCTGTTTCTGCAGACCGTCCATCTTCTTGATTAATCGATTGAGAAACTCGTTTCTGTTCTCCTTCTCTGCGTCACCTCTGCCGTTATTGATCCAGTCACAGACTCGTTCATCGTCTAGTAACTCGCTCTTCCGCTCCATGACCTCCAAGTTTGCTTCCATTTTCTCGGTATGGGAGCGAATATTATCAACACAGTCTTGCTTCTCTATGACTGTCTCGATAGCTGGGAATACGTCGTCTAGCTGCTTGAGCAAGTAAAGACTTGTCAGTACCCGGTCGGCTCGATCCTCGAGGTCCATTAACATGGGCGTCAAGTCCCTTGGTTGTCGATTTTGAGGGGTGTGGGCGTCGCTCATTGTTTCTGTAGCTGCTGCGGTTTTGAACATGTATCGCATATCCCTTTTTGCTGGCCTGCTTTTGTAGGCCGGAGTGTGAAGGAAGAAGCTGGTTTTGACTTCATGGGTGGATAACCACACCTTCGCATATGTGAGTCGCGGAGTATCATTGTAGGATGACAATCACGTTTAGTCGTACTCTGTTCATTACTCCACGGCTAGCCTACTGACATTCCATACTGTCATTTTCACATTGTCTAGAATTTGGTTTACAGCTCAAACCTCGACACGTGGAGTGGAATGCAGCCTCTAGGGACACATCGACCAGTCGAACTCTCCCTCTTCGAACCCATACCTCACATCAGCCCTGACCTCTTTCACCTTCTCCTCGATCATCTCCAAACTCTCTTCTAAATCGTTCTTGTCCTCCTTGGCGAGTTCCAATGCGCGATGCGGTAACTTTCCACCGACTACATAAGTGCCTGCGATATCCGTGATGTCGATGCCGTTGACTAGCCGCCGATACTGCTCCACATCCTGCTCCAGCATCTGTAATTCGGCTTTTATAGAGGCCACGGCACCAGCGCGGTCGGTGGCGAGGATGTCAGACTTGGCTTCGTGATGTAGGTGTGCGATTTTCGACCAGCGGTTTATGATCTTGTCGTAGTGTGAGGGAAGGATTTCCCAAAAGGTGGTAGAGAGAAGTGTCGCCCGAGGTGTTGGGTGTGGTGTTGACATGACGGCGGAGATGACTGATGCTCTATTTCGGGTGGGCGCGCAAGCCGTGGTTTTGTAGAAGCATGCATCGTCTCGGTATGACGGCGCCTCAACAGTAGATAAGACTTCACAACAACAACAGCGACGTGTTTGCTTTTTGTTGAAGGCGGTGTAAGCGAGACTTCTGTAAGGGTCGGTGTCCATGCTTCTGTTCTTTGTCGGGTCACTTTGAAGTTGGCCGTGATGCGCTTTGACTCAATGCCGGCTCGTCACGTCCTCGGGGTCACAGCTTAGATATGACTGTTTGCGCACAGGACAGCACGATACAGTCATAGCCTCATATAAAACTTGTGAAGGAAACCTTTGAACTCTTTCACGTACTATCAAATACTAGGAGCTCTTCATCAACATGGCAAGAATTTATTCCTATGACGCGTTCACCACGCTCTATGACCTCAAGAAAGTTCTCCTTCAACACAAATACCGCCAGCAGGAATTGACAACTGAACTCGAGCGAATCGAGCGGGATATGGAGGAGGCTTCTGAATTGCCGCAGCCTCCCGTTGGTAAACTGTGTCCCAGCCGAAAGTTCGCCGTCATACTACAGAATGGACATGCTACTGACAGCAGATCAGTTCGGAAGACAAAAATTGCCAGTGTCACCAGCGCTCTGGACGACTTCGCTGATACAAGAATTGGTGACCACATGAGAGTCTTGACGCGCGTCGACTACAAGTATGGCAGGACGTATCAGAGTCTGTTCGGGGATCTCTGCGAGAACGGTGATGAGAAAATAAGTGGAAGTGATGAAAGACGCTGCGACGAACAACACAAGAAGATACACCGTCTTTTCACATTGGTCCGCGAACAGATTGAGGAGTTCCGAGGGTCCGTCTCAGGCTGGATCTTGGATGAAGATATAAACACACTACTAGACGGCTTGAAGTGCGACGAGAAAGAAACAATACAATGTCAAGATGAGCTGATAGAAGCTTGGAAGAGGGTAAAAAGAGCGAAGGTGGCTCTAAATGGCCTGGAAAAGATGTTTGAAGGGATGCGGAAGGTTGTTGGTTGTGAACTTTAGAACAAATAGATGAATTTCCAGTGGCGAAATTTGCTTGGATCATTCAGTAGCGGGGATTTACGAACAGAAGGGTATACATACAATTGCTGTGCCGACATGTCATAATGCCAGCAGACGAGGCGAGTGATCGAAACAGCGACGTAGCGCCGAGACACATGTGAAGTGCATCTAGTCACACTCTTCCAATTTCACATGCTTAACCAAAAAGACTGAGCATGCATACCTCTATAGCTGGATTCAACACCTAGTACTCTATCCTCCATTGCAGGGCTGACCATACGCATCTGCACCGTACACAACTATGAGCTCAGAAAACCAAACTTACAAATCGCGGGGAGAGTCCTCCTCGGAGTTCAAAGATCTAGTCAAAACGATCAGCGAGTTGAAGACAATGATACCTGGCTGTCTCGAGGAAGTCGATTCGCTATGCCACCGCTTTGTGGAAGCTACACCTGGTACAGCAGAAGGGCGCGAGTCAGTTAAGCGAGTGCGGGAGATAGTCGCCGATATGGAGAAACGGTATCACGAGATCGATACTCATTATGGCTGGGTGTTGGCGTCGGATCGCGAACTTAGGGACGAGGTACTTTGCTCGTATTTTGGAAAGAAGATAGACGGCAAGGCTTGGTTGAAGAGATCTATCAGGATGCTCAAGAAGACCCGTCGTATACTAGAGATGAGCCAGCAGCGCGTCTTTTGATGGAAAACCGCATACACCGCGCGCGCATCACCTAATTCCGAAGCTCAACCTAGAAGTACCTTCCCGATGTCATACCCAGCAAGCCCCAAAGCGCAACCACACCCTGATATGTCGCACGCATTCTAGCAGACCCTGGAGACCTTTCCTTCGCACATACCACACCGTCAATGATTGCCATCCATCCAATGCAAGCAAGTAGTGTGTCCATGGCTTCCAAATGGCCCCCGAGATAGATTCCACAGATCGCCATGCCGATAGTATTAACGCGCGAACCTTCGATCTTGATCAGAGGCCACGCTGCCTTCGAAGATGCGATGCTTTTGGAGAGACCGTATGTCAGGATAACTTATTTGGGCCCATGAGTAGAAGACATCAGCCCGCCGACTGTCCAGATGCTGGCGAGAAGGAGAGGCGGAACGTGCCTGGGTACGAAATGCTCGAGCATGGTTGATAGCGATATCAGAAGCTGGCAGGCGAGCCGATATGTGTACAAAGAGATTTCTGAATAGAGTAGGTAGGGTTCTCTCGACTTCTCTGATATAGCGCGTTCGTGTAAAGGCAAAGGGGCAATTCAAATGTAGTGTGAGTGCGACGTTCGAGTCGAAAGTGACAGGAATAAGTTCGTTACAGTGGCTTGGTGGGGGGAAAGGGGCGCCTGAAGCTTGTGATGTGTCTAGCGCAGGGCGTAATTGTGCTGTTAAATATAGACAACCAGAGTCTAAGTACAGGGAAAGGCCGACGGCGAGCCAGTAGAGAAATCAGCCTCCACTCGCGATGTATCGAGGTCGATAAAGATATTGTCATAGTGCTGTGACCCAACCGGTGCTGCTTTTCCGGGTCCTTAAGGCTCTCGTTTTCTAGCAGCGATGCCTAATTGGAGGAGACAGGAGCGAGCGCCGATAGAGCACCATCTTCTAGCCCGACACCGCTACGGCGATATGCCATAGCCGTCGTCATGATCCCCTGCGATTGCTGCTCAAGGTTGGCATTGTTGTCTTTCCAATGCGGCAAATCCATAGTATCTCTAAATGCTGATTCCCGCCCCACAGCGTTCGTTTCAGACTCCTTGTCTTCGGAGCAGGCAGGCGTGAAATATGTTGAAGGCGGGACAAGTATGGATTTTGCCAAGATCCAGCAGCTGACTACGAAATGATAGTTCGCGACTCGGAATTCTCCAAGTAAGCTGGATTGGGAAGGTTGCCATGCCAATTGGAAATGCATCTGTACATGGCTGATACCATACGACGCTTCCTGCAAGTCCTGTAACGCCTGGAGGTGAGCCTCTTCCTCGATGAGAGTCATTGCACCAGAGCGTAGCTGAAGTCGTGTTGAAAGACGTAGAAGGTGAACCGCGTCATTATCTGTGACATGGCGAATGAGTTTTCGTTGAGTATCGTTCAGCGCGATGTTCACAGAGTCTTCGAATAGACCCACAAAGTCTATAAATGAGCCCGGAGAGTCTCCTACGTTATCCAAGAAGCCTGCGAAAGAGTCGGTAGACGCTGTATCTCTATTCGGTTCATAAAACCCGGTAATGCCGAACACAGTAATATTGCGCGCCTTCTCGATCGACAAGATGCTGAACATGTGCGATGTCGATCCGTGAAACGGGGTCGTGTATTCATTGCCGTCACCAACACTGAACTCTGCCGCTTGATAGAAGAAGTGAAGCGCCTCTTCTTGAATCTGAGGATGAATGATCACCCATGCTGGAAGGGTCTGGATCTGTTCACAAAGTTCATCGCAGTCTAGATACCGCGCGTTGACAGCGCCAGCGAGGCAAAAGTCGTCCTGATAGTAGATATGCGTTCCTTGCCAAGCGTACTCATAGATCTGATCGCGTAGTTCCCTCGGTAGCATCAAGATCAGGTTGGAACAGTCTTTCAATCGATTCTTTCGAGAGATGTCTTCATCGTGGCGATCCCGTGCGGATACATGGCTATTGCGCGGTCGTGTCCTTTGGCTGCGAAGCCAGCTAAGTGTGTATACTGATGCCTTAGGTATCGTTCGTGGCGTGCACCTGCGTAACTTCTCCAGTAGCCGATAGGGTAGCGATGTGAGATGATGCCGCGCATGGGGCTGCAGCGATTCTGGTGGACCTCGAGCCGCCATAGCTTTGCAATATGCGTTCGAAGGGTTATGTTTGCAGTATTCTAAATGGAAGTATTCCCAGCATATTAGCCACACTTACGATAACTTACTCTGAGTGCAGCCAGGAGAAATCTGGACCTTTGCCGAAGAGCGAGGGCAAGATTGCGCGGCGCTCGCGATCCACAGCTCTACCCATGGAACGTTGAGGGGTGCAAGCAACCATGCCACCAATCGATCTCAGCCCGTCGTAATGGAATTGGTACATTGATGTATGCAGTGCACAAGACCGTTGTCGTCCATCTCGAAGGCCGATCTTGCTGCCGATGGAATGAAGTCGGCGGCGTCCGATAACTTTCTGTCGCACGCTGACGAAAGTGTGCAATGAGAGAAAATATTGGGGCAATGATTGTGTCAAAGCTGTGGACGAACATCTTGTGTGAACGCGTAAACGCGTGTGGCGTCATGACCGTGTTCTAGCGCGTAAGATGACGTCACTGACTTACGAAGACCTCGGGAGGTTTGCAAATAGACCAGCTCCATTCGTTCCAGAAAGCGCATAGATATCGAGGACCCACTCCGAATTACATACAAAAAACCCCACTCTGACACCGACTTTACCCCCTCAAAGATTTACCCTAGCAGGCACTCGCCTTGCAAGCTCGCAGGCTTCACTCATTGACCTCTCCACAGTCAGATGATATGAAGCCGTTGTCGCTCGGGCAGCACTCCGGATGTTCAGAGGTGCATGCCTTAGTGCGTGTATACAACGAAGCCCTTCCGCACTCGGTCACGATTTTACCAGAACTCGAGAAGCCTTCGTCTTTCACACCTGCCCATTATATCAGCGAGAGTCGACGCTCAGTTCGGGTTTGCAGACTTACAGTCAGAAGAGTCTAGGAAGGGCGCGAATGCGGCATTGCAGTCGAATGGGCAGTCAGTAACCCCGTCCGGTATCTGGCTCCATCGGAAGCTGAAGTCAAATCCAGTTACATCGGAGTATGTCCAATGCCATTCTTTGTCGAGCCGGTCACCAAACTCGGTGCATGCGGTTTCAATCCAGCTGGGTAACAATTAGCAATTTGTACTGGGCTAGAGTTTGGGAGATGGCTTACCCTTCAAAGCTGGATCTGGGGTCAAAGGTTTGTGAAGAATCCGGATTCGCGGCGCCTAGCGTTTCTTTATCAAACCTTTGCAAATCGCTTTTGCATTCAGCTTCAAGCACAGGCTCGTCGGCTCGCTTGATGAGCTCCTCGAGCCATTCATATTGCGCATCCATGTATCCTTGTGGTACCTCCCAGACGTAGGGATAGTTGACGATTCCGCATCTGCATCCGAGGTTCTTTACCTATTTACCAACGTGTTAGTCTCGGGGCTACATATTTTCTACAGCTCTAGCTTACCGTGAGACATGTTGGCGTCGAAGGGGGTTTAGAGATTGTTTCTCCGGTTAGAGGGTTTAGCACCTCCTTCTGGCCCTGGCAGTTGACGGATGTACAGATGAGGTCCTTGGGACACGCCAAGTCTTCTTCTTTGAAGTCCTTGATGACGTCGTCTTTGCCAACGAATAGTTCCATTAAGACTTGGCCAGTGAACATAACTGCATGCGCGGCGATGGTAAGACCAAGTGCACTCCTGGCAAGAAGCGAAGGGTCTCAATTCTGATCTGCCTGAGGGGTTGTCGCTGTAGCACTAGACATTCGTCGATACATTCGAACGAAGGCCACGGATTCACCGATATAGATGTTGGGGATCGGAAAGCCGATGGCCTGGCCGGCGGCCGGCTCAATCGGAACGTTTGCCTGCGCCAATGCCATGAGGTCGTCCGGGCCGGTATCAACAAGACTCATGGCATGGTGCAGGATGCGTTCAATACATTCCTCAGTAGGATCAGCACGCTTGAAGCTCTGGCCCTGACAGATCTGCTGTGTTTCTTGAAGACCTGTCATGCCCAGGAAGTCTTCAATGCGCTCAGCTGTGGTTTTCGGAATATTGTAAACGAAATCTCCTGCTTCGTGACCGCCACTGGCAGTAGTAAGTGTTTCAATGCTGATGAAGCTCCTGAAATCGATATCAGCACAATGCGAAATGTGGTTCAACACATGTAACTAACGTAACGGTAGTCGTTGCAGGTGGTTGGTACGTCAAAGTGGCCAATGCAGCGCCCCCATCCGAGGCTGTCACAACGGCGATTTCCTGTGCAGCGGCTATCGAATGGATTTGACGGAGGTCCTCTGGACGAAACCTCATCTCTTTTCCTAGATCATGCTTGTAAATAGCGATGGCAAAGCCAATCAAAGCACCTACGCCCCATGCGACAAGAAGTAAGGTGCCCGGATCAAAACGTTTGATATGAGTAGAGACATCAGTACTCTGCAGCACCGCGTTCAAAGCGTTTTGACACTCTTCAACTGGTTTATTGTTGCAGCTTTGCGCCCGCACGGTCTCAACCTGTCCGCGTAGCTCCGGACCGAATGCGATAGTGATACCATCGGATGGCCATGCGTCGTAAACCCCGGTAGGATATACCTGAATCTCCGTCCCGCGGGGCTCTGGATTAGTGGCCTGCGATGGGGTGTTAGTGTCGTAAGAAGGAAGGAGAGGCCATGATGTACCGCAGCTGGGAAGTATACGTCCTCAGGACCGAATGTGAACGTCGGTATAGCAACGGCTTCGTCACGACGCGAAGGCGATTTTGTCGTCAGGAAAGCTGCTCCAGTAGGTGTTACCAACACCCGAGCTGAAGCAGCCGTCAAGCAAAGTGCCAATGCTAGCAAGCTAAGACGAGACATGGCAATAGTGCAGAAGTAGTTCGGTGATGAAGCATTTGGAGCAGTGCTTCAAGCTTATATGCAGATAGTTTGACTTCGAGAAGATCGCGACGCGAAGTCTAGGGACACATCATGCCATTCCCGTCGCCCCCAATTACACGTTGAGGCCTGTAGAGGCACGGTAGATGAAGGCATCGGCTACGTGCATTTCCACAATGGCACAGCTCTTGGTGCATGATCGGGGCTGTGAAGCGTTCCAAATAGACCCCAACGAAGAATGTCGAGCGTTCATGGGCATATTCTGAATTGGCGATGTCAACTTGAAACGTGAGTTGGTACCCGAGAGGATTCTCCAATGTGCCCAGCGTGGCGAAGTGCAGTATGAAAGCGGTTGGGGCGATGGAGCTTTTGATCCCGTTGCAATAACGAGCAATTTTTGGGGCGGATATGGGGATCTGCTCGCCATTTGCCCAGCAGAAATAGTTTGTTGTTCTCGAGAGGCGAGGTAGCGAACTGTGCCGTACGGAGCGCGTCTAGATTAGCAAAATGCATGCTTGAACCCCGAACTGCGCGGCGCAGAACGCGTGGGGCCAGTCTGACATGCTTCCCACCATAAGATGGTTGGCAATAGAAGGGGTGAATTATGGGGCGACTCAATGATGGCGCTTGTCTGATCCGAGAGCGTCACAAAAAGTTGCGTATATGTAAGAGGGTTGCGCGCAAACTTGATGGCCACTTCTGCAGCAATTTTCATTCGCGTTCACGATGCCGTCGTTACTACTGTCTTGGTTTTTATTCCATGCTCTCATACTAGCCTTCGTCGCTGGCTACAAGATTGACCAATCGTGCGAAGACAAGGGCATTACGCAAGACATTCGTGATGCTATGACTTCGGCTATCGAGAAGGCTGCCGGAGCATACGATACCCTGACATCTTCACTAAGCGACGATGCACTCGAACTTCTGGGTTTCCTGTTCGCGAAAGATGGTGTGAGTCCGGCCGAACTCATGGACAAGGGCAGTTTCGGCAAGACCATAGGGGTTTTGCAAAACATCAATGCAAACATGTGGAAGGAAGTGACTGGTACCGCCGAGGTACTTCCTGAAGACGTGGTAAGAGCAACTAGGATCGCTTTGAAGGGTCTACAAGAGACTGATCATTGATCCAGGTCATCTTTTGCCATTATGATCGCTGGAAACCGGTGGAAGGAGAGAAGGACCTTTATCGAGATTCTAGTATGTGATACGGGGCTACCACGCGACCGTGTACTGATTCTATACAGCAAATGGTGTGCGACTAAAGTTCCGTGAGCAAGCATGTAGAGGTAATACGGTCCTCGACAAGATTGCCCTGGCAGTGACCTTCAACCCGGAAACAGAGGTTGTCTGGAAGAACGGAAGGCCCATCGCCGGTACCGGTATGCAACCTGCCCAGATTCAGCTATGTACTTGGTTCGTCGATTGGATCAAGCAGAAGAAGTTCAAGCTTTCTGGTGACGTTCAAAAGAGAACGAAGATTGGGAGGGCGGTGATCAACGCGGCCGAATGGAGACAATTCGGTCTCAGACAGATTGGTGAGTTGTACAAAGATTCGACCAAAGGCAAGAACTGACGAGACATCATTAGATGCATTTTCACTTCTGGATAAGGTTCTCTTGCACGAGATGACGCACGCCCGGGGTGCCTACATCGAATACAAAGATGGCGAAATAGAAGCTGAGGGCCTCATAGATGTTACATCTCCCGAACGCTTGCTCGGTATCTGGAAGTGGCCAGCGTATGGATGGAAGGGAGCAACGGCGCTCGCACGGCAAGGCGATGGCCTTGGTGAATACGCCGCACCAGACAACAACGCTGACACTATAGCCCTTTTCGCGAGCGGTAAGTTATTTGAAGCGTGTCCTGGGTATTCGCTGATACGTAATAGGGTGTTCACTGCTCAAGGACCAAAAGAAGATCGATGCCAAAGGACGGATAGTACCGATGCAGGAGGTACCGTCGTGAGTGAAGTGCATGAGTGCGATGCAATCCTGCATTGATCGCAAGTCTGGTGAGAGGTGTTCTCGAGTTGTTCACTGTGGAAGCGTTGCTGGTGTTGTATTGGTGGAACTCCTTGTATTATAAAGGAAAGGTCTTCCTGTCGTACTGCTTTTTGAGCCGCGAAATTCTGAATGGTATGTTTCCAAGCGCATCCACTACCTGCTCAGGCAAATCGACGTTGAGTCCGACTTCGTAGACTTCTGCATGCACCTGCTTCAGGGCCTCGAAGATGAAGATGAGTGACTCAGGTTCGGGCGTACCCGCCCTGACATCATGGAATGCAAACTGGGCCCATATGGTCATCTCGATCCTGAGTAGGCGGAGCTCACCGAGTGTGGCTAACGCACAGCAAGCATCTTCCCAATCAAGGTAGCTTTCTCGCGGAAAGCTGCCTCTGCATGTAATGAAATTCCTCCTCGGTGTCAATATAGTCGTTGAGAGGTTTACCGAGCGTAGCCTTTGCCACATATCTGGGGCTACGAGCCTGCGAAAACTAAGCACTCCTGTGGCGCCTCGGAAACTAAACTGGTTCGCCGTGTACAAGACATTCACAGCTTCACGATACCTGTTGCTTTGATTAGCCTTTGTGGAAATGGCGCAATGAATAGTATACATTAGGCGGCATGTAACGAGGATCGATAAGAGATCGCCATTGGTATAGTATGCGGGACGGTGCATGCGCGCGCTTCCTTCATTCCAGACCCCAAAGCACATATGTTGCCACGTGAGATACATACTGTCCATATCTTCGCAGCGCCAGTGTCCGAGCTTATGGGGCCGTCCCTTCCCAGGCGTAACGTGCAAAAAGTGCAGCAGACGCTGCGGGTCGGCGAGAACCTCTTCGTAGATGAGCAGTCGCAATTCAGGCGACAGCTTGCCGAACAGCATACACTGCTTCTGATCGAGAGGCTCATCTCTCGGTAATTCAGCTCGCGGCATCGATTTCGCGTCTTGGCTTCGTTTGATACTGATTGCCGTCGTCGGTTCGGGCTTTTTCCGCTGCCATTTTCGGAGCAGGAAGGCGCGCATGGCGATCTACGTGGCGACGAAGATGGAGATATCGCAATGCACCTCAAAATGGGTCGAGAATGCTGCGCAGTCGCGAAGGATCTGGCCGCAGATTGTAGGAGCTCAAAAGGTCTTGTTTGGGTCGTTGGGCTTTTTACTGTGCCCAGGTGGCTCGGGGACGAGATTGCGGCACAGCAATGCAGCGGGCGAAGACCGAGGGCTGGCGCTTACATGCACATGCGTGCGGTATTAAGGCGGTAATCATAGCGTGGAATAGATTGTCGCGTCGGTGCGATGTGAACAAGGTCCCGTGTTGATGTACACGGATGCGCTGATGAGTTCCAGTGAGGTTTGGGGAGGGACCTCGGGAAGCTCCAAGACGCGTGCCGTCGAATGTAGACTAGTTCATTTTCTAGGACGCGTACACTGTGGACCCACCCATCGTCGCGTTTCTCCCTTCGCCCCCTTCCGATAACCTGCACGCACGCGACGCCATTACTGCGATAGGCCACGTTTCTGTAAATCAACAGTAAACATGTAACTATTACAAAGAGTCCGCGAGAAGGATTTTGCAGTGCAATGCTTGCTTGACCGTCGTCGCAACTACTTCATGTCAGCCATCCATGGGTGCTTCAGGAGTTCAGTCGCCGATTTCCTGTCTTCCGGTCGCCATCTGAGCATCGAGCGTATGAAATCGAGAAACAATTCCTTTTCCCCCCCTTCAAGCCCGGACACTCTTTCCTCGAGTGAGATCTTAGGAATAGGTACACTCTTGGAGCCACCCGTCCAGTGTCCTATTGAACTTAGCAGAGTCTATGTCGGGACGATCTCAATGACTAACCTTGCTTGTCGAAGACCTTCTTTGTGATATCATTGCTTTGCGTGTATTCAAGCGGAGGCATTCCAAGGTATGCGACCATCTCGGAAATATGATGTGTCCCTGATGGGTTGCCCTCGGTGTCACGGGCGTCGAACAGATGCTCATCTTCAAACAAGTCCCACACCTAATCAAGAGTAAGTCATTGCGGCTTCCTTATGATAGTGTTATATACTTACCAACGTGGTGACACTCCAAATGTCCACCTTGGAGCCCCACTCCATCTGGAAAATTATTTCTGGTGCACGGTATAGCTCAGGCTGAATAAAGCCGGAGTGGGAATCTCCTATCCGCGCTTCTCCAAAGTCACAGAGAACTGGTCGGCCCCAAAGATCACCCGTAGGATGGGGAAGCTTACGGGAACTGTAAATGGTGCGTGTGTCGTCAATCACTTTGGATGGTGACGGGTTTTCTGCTTCAGCTTTCTCGAAGTTTTCCAGGATAGTGTCATCATTCACAGTCAGCATGATATTTCCGGGATTGATGTCTAACTTGTCAGTTGATCCAATCACGTTGCACTATCTTGCCGTACCTGTATGTACGACCTTAGCCTCGTCGTGTAAGAACGACAGTGCCTTGAGCACGTTGGCTAGCGTGAACTTTAGAAGCGGAACGTTGAGCTTGTGTGCTGGGTTGTAATACTGGAGCTGTCGAATAGTCATGTGCATGGGTGGATGAACAAAGCACAAATGTTTGCCAGTCGGACCGTCAAGCTCAAATTCGCCATACAGTTCGCGGATGTATGCTTGGCCGCGATGCTGTGATTGTATAGAACTGACATGCTCGTAAAAGTCTAGCTCTCGATTGAGCTGTGGGGTCTTTTCGGCATCTCGGGTACAAATCTTGACAGCGACGAAGTCAGCGACGAAGCCAGCGTCTCGTTCTCTGTGCACAGATGATCAGAATTTGAAGGGTGGATGGGGGTGAAGAACGCCAAACATACTGAATATCCCGAATATCCCGACACAGCCAGACCGTGGAGTATGCACCGTAACCGAGTTTTCCTATGATCTTAAAGCTAGAATCCAGAATCTCACCAGGTCGTGCTGGATAGAACTGATCATGGCTATACCACGGAAGGCGCTCCTCTTCGAAGAGCTCGCTGGCATTTGTTTTCGTACTCCGGAAGCGCGAGATTCGGGAAATATGAGAGGGAAATCTGAAGCGACTACATGCGCGTTGACTAAATCTCAGCATGGTGTAGAGACACTATATCATCGTGGGAAGTTAGTGTGATGGTCCAAAGGCGGCATGGCAGGTGTTGGGGTTCCGTCGAATGTAGACTAGCGTACTTTTGCACGTCGCGTCTCGTGGTTCTTCGCCCCTTCAGCTGAGCTGCACGCAACTGCATCTGCAACAATTCTCTAAGGCTACGCCATCCTCTTTCTTTCTCGGTTATCGCATTGTGACTGACGTTCTGGGCCCGGTTTTCTCACCCTTTTGCGAGGCGAAGCTTTCCACATCCGCCTGCATTCGGCCTCGTAGTATCCAGCGATGATGGTCACAGATCCAATGCCATCAAGGTTGCTAAAGGGTTCCTTTCAAGGCAGACGATGCAGCTTTCAACTAGTTCCATGAGGCACTGAAGTTTGTCGATAATGGTGATTACACAAGCGCCCGGAGCGTGTCGTTGTAACAGAAAGTAGACCAGCAACACCGACCACCCGGTTCCCGCCCACATACTTCCACCACGACCAACTCCCATCGCGTCCGCCGCAGCCTCGTCTGACTCAATCCCCAAGACCCAGAAGGCGCCTCCGACAGTTCACGTTTAGCCTTAAAGCGGAGATACCGTTTCAGCCCCCAAGCCAAGCGCGGAGCGGAAACGCCAAGGCAGCCTCCCATCACAAGTATAGCCGCATCCCTTACAGACCAAGAGGCCGGCCGTTGAGAGAACAGGCACCACTAAGGCTGCGCGAGGCACGCGTCACTGACTCGTTCGCACGTGCGAGCTTGTCTTTGCCTCAGCCCAGATGTCGGGCCTGCATCCGCGCTCGCCTTGGCTGGGCCGCCACATGTATCCCCAAGACATCAGGATGCGAGGTGCGAAACATGTGTTGACGCGGAGCGATAAGCTCGCTGGCTGGCTTTGGATGTGTTTAAAGATGCGGTCAACGTCGTGTAGGGCCTGGAATAGGCAAGCGATCTTCGCATTTTTTTTACACGTTCAAGACGGTTTTCAGTATGGCTGGTGATTCTTCGACTCCGGCGACAGAAGGCTTTTTGCAGTATCATGAGCCGAATAGTAGGTTCTTTACTTTCTTACCTGGTTTCGCATTCGTTAACGTTCGACAGTCATCCAAATCCTCGTTCTCGTTTCGTTTTTCTTCTGGCTTTCCTTCGGCGAATGGCTTTCGAACCGGGTGTTCCGCGCTGGCCTTATAGGTCAAATCATAGTCGGTCTGATCTATGGCCTGCCTATCGGTGGTGACATGATACCCATAGCATGGCAGGAAGCCTTCATCGCGCTCGGATACATTGGGCTTGTTCTCATCATTTTTGAGGGCGCCCTGGCCGTACGGCTGGATCTGCTCAAAGCGAACTTTGGCCTCTCTGCTATTGCGGCGACCATCGGTGTGGTCGCTCCTATTGGGCTCACATACCTACTTCTGTATGTCGGCTTTGGGTATGGAGCGATCGAGACGTTCATCGTTGGGGCTGCGCTCTCGGTCACCTCTCTTGGGACGACATTCGTGGTGCTAGGCAAGAGCTCAAAGGAGATCAGCTTCGCCGATACTAGAGTTGGTACAGTTCTTGTCAGCGCTGCTGTATTCGATGATGTATCTGGTCTAGTGATGGCTAGGTGAGACACAAAGTTCTCTATAACCACAGAGCATCACTAACATCGCTCAGTGTAATCGGCCAACTAGGAGCCCTCGGAGGAGACGACTCCCCCAACCTAGGCTGGCTAATCGGACGCCCCACACTAGTATCTGGCCTCCTCGCCATCCTCACTCCCGTCCTAAACAAATGGGCAATCGCGCCTCTATACCGAAAGTTCATCGAGCCGCGGCTGCCAAAAACACGCAAACGCCACGTCGTAAACGTCATCATCATGATCTTCGTCTTGTGTGCTTTC